TGGCGGCCCTAACTATAGTTGGAGTAGATGATCGCCTAAGGCCCCGCTTTGATAAGGGCCGCAAATTTATAAGGTTAATTGATTGGTTAAAGAAAAATGAAAATCATATTTATAAAATTCTTTAAAATAGAATTATCACATGCAAACACAATAAACTAATAAAAATTGAAAATAGAAAACTCTTTTAAAAACATATATATGACATAAAACTTATCACTTACATTTATTTATCCCATAAATATATCGCAAACTAGGCTTTTTCTCTCTATGACTAATTTCACACTTTATTTTTCAAACACTTCTTTTCTTTTCTTAACCAAACAAAAGGTCTATTTGTCTCTTCAAATTCCACTTACCCATCATAATTTTTTGAACCCAACAAGAAATAAAGAGTATTGTTATGTGCAGTCACTCACTGTCATAGTCGACCTACGTGGTATTCAAGTGGCAGTTAGTAATTTGATGCATTAATGTGGTACTTTTTTGCCTTACACATCAAATCACTAATCTTCATGTGTATGCACATAGGGTGACTACAGTAGTGAGCGACTGTAAATAGCATTATTTGGAAATAAATTGTCTCCATTTGAATTAAAATTTTGAAGATTCAATTTGATATATTGGTATGGCCTCACTGCCATTGTTATAGCCTTACATGTTTCTTTCTTTCTCTTTTATCGTCAAAATATATACTACATAGTATATATGCTGTTATTATTATTATTATTTTGCTTTAATCTCATGATAATATCCTTTTTAGATGTTTGTTGAATTTAATAATTCTTCATCCTTATTTATACTTCTTATTTGTATATTAACTTCTTATGAAATAATATAAAATTAGAGTGTATTTGATCATCATTTTCATTATTTTGTTATATTATCTCTTGCAATCAGCATTATCCAATTTTGTACATAAATTGCTCAAATGCATATTCAGTTTAAAAGAGTTGAGTGAGAAAATGATTAAAGAAATGAATAGACCCATATGCCATTGCATTGTAATTTTGTTTGCCGGAACTTCACTTATTATTTGTATTGTATGTTTAACATTTTGTATCGTCCTCTTCAAATTCTGGGACTTGGTTGACTGTATTAGATCATTCATAATTATATTAAAACTTTTTGAAAGAAGGTTCAAAATATAGGGGCCCCATATTTGAAATTGGCATAAGGCCCCCCAAAATATCAGGGCTAGCCCTGCGGCTTGTCCTATAGTTTTTGGGTAACACTTTCTATTAGTTTTGAAATAGAAGTGCAGATTCTTCCCTGGGGAGGGGGGAGGGGGGCTTTCTTTGTTTTCAAGTTGCCTTTAGTTATTGCATTTATTTGTGCATTATGATGTATAGGCATAGTGAAATATATTTATATTCTAAATAAGCGCTGGACACTCGTAACTTGAAACTACGAGGATTTGGGAATTGAGAAACGAGAAATGTAGTAGACAGACCTAAATTGGCAGGATATGTTGAAATTAATAAAAAATATATAGTTACCAAAATTAGTGGTTTGTCGAGGTAGAATGGTGGACTTGTGGAGGAAGCATGTGTGCTTCTTCATGGGTGAGTATACTTACAAATGCCTATGAAAAATTTCTCTCTATCAGTCAGACCTATTATATGCCTCATGAATTGGAAATACTTGCGAGTATCTCATTTTTGGAAAGAAGTAAGGTATATTGCATGATGAAATTGATCTCTAGCCTCCAATGGGGATAAGAACGTCTCACTGTTTATATGGCAAGAAAACCTTACTTATGGTTCTCTTGCAACAAGTAAGGTTCTCTTACAATATTAACAGTAGACGGTTTTTTCCTGTCCATTGGGGGTATGAAAGCAAGCCTGTATTGTATGTATCATACCAGTGTTAAAGGATCTTTTTGGCAATCTATTAATGGATGGGTATAGAATTTAATTACTACTGTGGAACAACCCTTAAGTGAAATGCTAACAACTATCTAATATAATGACTATTTGGGGATCAAGTGTACACGTGGCATGCATTTAGATTAGTGTATTTTCAATTTGTACATTTGCGGAAGATTTCATTATTTTATTCATCAACAAGTTTTCCTATAACAGAACAGAATTAGTAATTTTAGTGAAATGTTCTTCGGGGATGCATGCCCTGTACCATTGGAACTCTAGGTATTTACCTATATGCTCTGGCGATCTCTTTTTTCTATGATAGCCAGGTAAGGAGAACAGAAATAAATGTGGTAAATATTGTTGGTCAGGGAAGTTGATTTCGTCCAAATATAGATTAGGGCATCACAATTTGGTTAAATTGGGTTAAACTAGAAAATGACAGAGAAATGATATTGGGTCTCAACGAGGTTATTATATGCACGTTCCAGTGCGTTAGCTGCTGTCTCCAGGTTACAGAAATTGACTTATTTCCTTTTCCTTTTTGGCTTTCCTGTCATTTACACAGAATTCCACTACCATTGTTTTGAATCCCATTTTGGTTAATGCCAATCACCATAATCATCTTGCAATTGAAAAACAACAATCTCCTTCAACCTCTAAAGCTACGGTTTCTCTCATAAACTATTATACCTATACATAAAATTATTTTGCCCTTTTTCCATAGACACAAGGCAATTTGAATCTGGAAAAAAAAAAAGCAAAGGGTACAGATTTTATTACATATTGAACGCAAAATGATATTCAAACTCCAAGTATTTAAGGTAGGAATGTTTTCGACACTTGTATAAGTGAAGTAAAAAGATTTGTTGTTTTCGATTTGTATTAACGTGTAATTGTATTACTCATGAGAGAACGGAAGCACCCTTTGCTATTTCAACTAAGAGATGAAGAGGAAGCACCTTTACTAAGATTTTTTTACTTTTCTACGTTATATCTTTAACGTGTATAAAAAAAGGCACATAAAATTAATCTGCACTTTAAAAATTCAAGACAGAACTCACATTATACGTGTGAAATAATTTATTTATTTTTTCATTTGACTTAACACATCCAAATATACGCAATGATGGATCCCATATACACATAGGATAATCAAAATTCCCAGTCAAAGATATGCTTTTGTCTTTCATTAGTATGGTGTGGGACACTGCCCAATTAAGAGAATAGTATAAAAGCTGAATCATTTATTTAAGAAATTCAACACTTTACACCACAAGGCTACAGGACATAATTTATTTGGATATGACCACCAGTCCATAAATTGACAGTGAAGAAAATTCTTGAACAGTGAGATTGGCAGAAAAAGTAATATTTAATTCGAATTTCATTTAAAGTGAAATGACCCTTACTCTTAAATCAGACACGAAAATAATGAATAAAATATTTTAAAGAAGTCGAGATTCCTAATTTTTCTTCATGCAAGCACGGAGATCAAAGCAAAATAACACGCTAAGGAAATCCAACAATTTTAATTCAGACTTTAAATAGAAGCATAATTTAAAAATATTCATGTAACAAATAATCACAAACGATAAATCAGTTTTTAAAAATAAATGACTATTACAAGAAATAAAATTACTCGTTGAAATCAAGATTTTCATCAGCAAAAGCAGGCACAACCACACCATCGAACCATCACGCTCCGACATGACCCGATCTAACCTGTAAGGTGTAGGAAAAGGGTGAGTACATGGGAATACTCAGTAGGATATCATATTTCAATGGTGCAATCCCCAATAATAATTTTAAGACATGTGTCAGAATATCATACCGTCGCATAACTTTAAAATCCGGTAAGAGCTCACATCATAACATTTCATTTCATTTCATTGTACCGGAATGGCCATATCATTCAATCATACATTGATATCATAACTTTACTTTCATAAGTATAAAATTCGTCAACATGTAAAAAAAATAATAATTAAACGGGACATTAAAAAAAATACTGCACTTCATATCCTACCTTATTAAACTGCTTTAATTTTGGAAGTTAAAACAAAATCACGTTCCCTTCTTTTCTTTTCTTTTTCTGTCTCTTCTATCACTGTAAGCAATGCACTTATATTTTTGTGTGTCTATTTCGTGTGGTGCATTCCATATACATATGCAGTAACTTCTATGGGATAACGTGTGAGAGATATAGGGAGATAGTGGATGATTGGATAAAGTGGAGAGAACTGGATTTGAAACAAAATGGGAGACTGAGTCTTATCAATAACCAACCACTCAGGGGCAACTTCCACACGTGGCGTCTTCTCAAACGAATTGAAAAGGGAAATATTAATAAAGCTGCTTCTCTCTCTCACGTGGTTGCCATATCTTTTTATATTTCTCTCTTCAATATTTTTTTTTAATTATTAGTTAACCAATTAAATCCTACCAAATTCTTCCACGTGAATCTTCCAACACAATGCATACTCAAATAAAATAATAATAAAAATAATCATAACAATATTTTAAGGCTAAATCTTTCGATCTCAATAATTTAAGCTCCATTAATCCAAATCCACTTTTTCTCGAGCCTAACATGCATGATTAAATACGAGCTTTCCAACGAGACCAATTTTCATATACTTATTGTCGCTCCGTCAACATCTACATTTTAACCCGAATAAAATTTAATTTTTACTTTGTATATATTTTAGTCCCTAAAATATTAAAATTTAGCATACATAAATGAAATTTTGGGTTACTACATGCTTGGGATCAATTATGCTACCTATAGGTAGCCTGTCAGTTGGACTTTGCAGACGCCGTGCACTACTATTCAAAGTAGGTTTTGATACCGTTTTCTGAAATACATATTTTGGTAGGATATGTATAATTTGATAAAGTTGCTGATTTGCGGCCTACAAATGCCAAAGTATGCCACGGTAAAATTTTCGTCATCATTGTTATTGGGTTTTTCCGTATCACATTTCTCCTTTAAAGCCCTAAGCGTGTCCCTTCTAGCAGGAGATTATTGTTCTTCCCTTCACTTACCCTACTTTTGCAAGTGCATGTAAAATCTTATTCTTTTGAAAGCTAATTTCCACTTTTGCTTTTGAATGCCCATTCAGAGTACTGGATTTCTAATTTGCACTAGAAATATGATTTCTGAAGGTTTTAGCAGACATGATTGGCTTACCCTGTCGAATTGCCAAAGGATGTAATTATTGTACTAGAGATGATGCATCCTCGTGTCTTGTTCGATTTGGACTCGACAGGTATATCTTATGACTTATAGTATTGTCATCATTTGTGTTGAGATAAAAATTAAGAGCTACTTAACCTGATGGAAATAATTGTATTCGCAAGGTATCTTCTTTTAATTGCAACATTGAATCTGGCGAGATAGATTACCATTTTAAGGGCTACATTCTAATTACGGGATTGACTAATTTAGCTAAGAGTTATATTTCAGTGTTTGTATATCCAATATGTTTATAGTTTATGAGGGGCTGACTGTGATGTCTAAACGAGCCATGCTTTCCTTTTTCTCAATTGTTTCGCTTCTCTGAGGCGTACGGGAACTACTTTTGAGTTCTAGGGTGTCAATTGGTTAGCCATGTTATGTAGCATTGCTATAATTTAATTCAAAATGTTCTAAATCTATTCCTATTAACATAGTGAAAGGTGTACAAAATGGGTTAGATGATATAATTATGATTCCATTGACATCACAGGGAGTATCTTGTTGATTTGGTGGAGAAGCCCGGATGCTTGTGTGAGCCAGATGCATTGTTAAATGGTCCTTCCATTTCAATTTTTTCACACGCTCCGATCTTTTGCACTTGGCGAGTTTTATTATTGTACAGGCAAAGGGGATGAGCTATCTTCATAAATGCAGTCCTCCCATTGTTCATCATGACTTAAAATCTCCTAATCTTTTAGTTGACAGAAAATATACTGTGAAGGTAAAATAATGAATATATTTTGCGTGCATATTGGTTTATCTTATATTATGCTTGATGACCTAGCTAACCATTTTGTGAAGCATTTTGTGTGGTGAATTGGTGAGCTATAATAGCTTTTTTCTGAAAGTTCTACAATGTTGCACATATCAATAATATTTTATTTTTGTGAAGCATTTAAGTTTTCGATGGTGCTAATGAATTAGAAATCTTGTTTCTCTATGGTAATTGAAAGTTCAATTCATATGACACCATGGAATGCATCTAATGCACAAAAAGAATCTTTACCCAGAGGAATTTTTTTATATGTTTTCTAAAAATTGACAATAAAAATTAATGTCAGGGACAATCCAACACAAAGGTATGTTCAGAATTTTTTTCCTCAGAGCATTAGTAGTCAATTTCTTCGTTTCTAGAGCAATATTGTTCATTAATTAGAAAATCTCCAGAATCTCCCATCAATTGTCTCCTCTGAAGGTTTCACTTCAATCTTCTTCTAATGAAGCCAGTAGATATCAAACATTCACACTTATCTATTCAATACATTCTATTTCTAGTG